GGAAGGAAGGAAGGAAGGAAGGAAGGAAGGAAGGAAGGGCAATAGCAATAGCACTTAGATTTATATGCCACTTGGATCCTCATTTTGCCCACCTTGGAAGGATGGAAGGCTGACTCTACCTTGAGCCTGGTGAGATTCGAACTGCTGGCAGTGGGCAGAACTAGCCTGCAACACTGCATTCTAACCACTGCGCCACCACGGCTCATGGAGGGAAGGAAGGAAGGAGACTTATATACCGCTTCACAGTGCTTTCCAGCCCTCTCTAAGCGGTTTACAGAGTCGGCCTCTTGCCCCCAACAACCTGGGTCCTCATTTTATGCACCTGGGAAGGATGGAAGGCTGAATCAACCTTGAGCCAGTCAGAATCGAACTGCTGGCAATGGGCAGAGTTATGGGAAGGAAGGAAGATAACAATAGCCCTTAGACTTATATACCACTTCACAGTGCTTTTACAGCCCTCTCTAAGCGGTTTACAGAGTTGGCCTCTTGCCCCCGACAATCTGGGACCTCATTTTAATGACTTTGGAAGGACGGAAGGCTGAGTCATCCTTGAATCCTCAGCGAATCTTTTCCAAACGTCAGTCAAACCTTAAAAGTCTCCTCTTTTTTTCCATCCGTCAGCATCGCCTGCCTGGCTGCGATGACGCGATTCAACGATTGCCTTCAGATGGTCAACCAGGAGGTGGAAATGGAGAAGGAGAACGCCGACCTCTTCGTCCTGAGGGCTCGTCTCTTTGAACACTTTGGGAAGGTGAAAAAAACGCCCCCATTCTCCTCTGGGAATCGTTCTCTCCGCCGCACCGTTAGTGACACGCAGGCCGTCCTTGAACTTACGACCGTTCGCTTACTGACAATGCAAAATCACGTTGGAAAAAGTGACTTACAACTTTGAGGCCATTGTGGCATCCCCCCACAAAGAGGAGGAGGTGGAGGAGAAAGAGAAAGAAGAGGAGGAGGTGGAGGAGAAAGAGGAGGAGGAGGACTATGGGGTCCTTGATGATCTCTGAGCTTGGTGGTTTTCTTGCAGACATTTCATTACCCAACTGGGGAACATCATCAGTGCTAGAAGGGAGTGGGGTTTTCTATGAGGAGGAAGGAGAAAGAGGAGATGGTGGAGGAGAAAGAGGAAGAGGGGAGGGGGAGGACGAAGAGGAGGAGGAGGAGGAGAACTGTGGGGTCCTTGGTGCTCTCTGAGCTTGGTGGTTTTCTTGCAGACATTTCATTACCCAACTAGGGAACATCATCAGTGCTGGAAGGGAGTGTGGTTTGCTGTGAGGAGGAAGGAGAAAGAGGAGGTGGTGGAGGAGAAAGAGGAAGAGGGGAGGAGAAGAGAAAGAAGAGGAGGAGGTGGAGGAGAAAGAGGAAGAGGAGGAGGTGGAGGAGAAAGAGGAAGAGGAGGAGGAGGACTATGGGGTCCTTGATGATCTCTGAGCTTGGTGGTTTTCTTGCAGACATTTCATTACCCAACTGGGGAACATCATCAGCGCTAGTGATGCTTACACTGATAACGTTGGCTCATGAAACACCTGCAAGAAAACCACCAAGCTCAGAGAGCACCAAGGACCCCACAATCCTCCTCCTCTTCTTTCTCCTCCTCTTCCTCTCCTTTCTCCTCCAAGCAAACCCCACTCCCTTCTAGCATTGATGATGTTCCCTAGCTGGGTCATGAAACGCCTGCAAGAAAACCACCCAGCTCAAGAGATCAACAAGGACCTCTCATATCTATCCTGAGCTACAAAGATGCTCCTTTACTGCCAAAGTTCAGGTGTGTTGGCACCTGGTGTGCATTGTCCCGGGGTCATGTGGTCACCACGTGCAACCTTCCCAAGCGGTGTCCTCCTACAAGACATTTCGGGGGTGGGGTGGGGATTTGAATCCGTTTAACCACCTACCTGGTGATTCCCCTAAGAATGGCAGCGTCTCTCCTGATCTAGGCTTCCCCAAAAAGCAGGAGACCAATTCCTGGTCCCAACAAAACCCCTTTTTATTAAATGAATGTGAATTCCTCTCATTCACACTCAGCCAAGGCCTGGCAAGCAGTCTTTCAAAGGAGTATTTATGACCACAGACCTTATCTAGCTTGGAAAGCTGCCATGTAAATATTTTCCCAATGAGATGCTGTGCAAGGAAAGGCTGGGCACAGAGTCTCTGAGATTCACGGACAGATCTTCACACTCCTGAAACGAAGCTAACGACCGAACGAATTGTTTCCTGCAAAAGCCCACTCCCCTTTCACTCCTCTTTTATTCCCTATTGGAGGGGCCATTCACTGTCCACCTGTGGCTTTACTCCCGAGTCGGCTCTTGTTCGTTAGCTGTTCCCTTCTCCTGGCAGCTCTGCGCATGTGCACACTGAGAACAGGCCGATATCTTCTAAACGCCACGCTGTAGCAGCAATTACTTGGCAAGAAGTCAGGAACAGATCTTCGCCCGAATGAATTGAACTAACGGTCTCCTGCAAACTCCACTTCCTTTTCCCTCCTCTTTTATTTCCTCTGGGAGGGGCCATTCACCACCCACCTGTGGCTTTACTCCCGAGTCGGCTCTTGTTCGTTAGCTGTTCCCTTCTCCTGGCAGCTCTGCGCATGTGCACACTGAGAACAGGCCGATATCTTCTAAACGCCACGCTGTAGCAGCAATTACTTGGCAAGAAGTCAGGAACAGATCTTCGCCCGAATGAATTGAACTAACGGTCTCCTGCAAACTCCACTTCCTTTTCCCTCCTCTTTTATTTCCTCTGGGAGGGGCCATTCACCGTCCAT